TTTATTATCAAAAATCAGCTGATACGAGACACGCTATGAGTATGAATAATCTCGGTAATTTTTATCGTTACGGAAAATATGAACGAAAGTGTTTGAATGGTTGCCAATTTGGAGGTTATGAAAATCCATCATTTTTAGAATGTTATAATATCAAGAGACATTACTAAATATTCTATTATAGTTTTGGAATAAGCAAGTAAAGGGTTATTACGTCAGAATCTCGTAAATATATTATATTGTATTGATTCTGAACTTGAAGCAATTTATTCTTGAAAATTGATCCATAGATATTTGCATTCTGGTAATATTTTGCAAGGCAATTTGGTACACATTGTTGATTTTGGATTTTTAGTATCATCTGATATTAAACAAGAAGGTGAGATCAATGGTGTTATGCTGTATATAGCGTTAGAGGTCTTATAAGGAGAGCCATTCATTCAGGAGGCGGCGGATATTTACAACCTTTGACGGAGTTAATGAGAGCATTTGGTGAAGAGTCCTTTTATACTAGATTTTCGACGAGAATTTGTTGAGAACAATCTAAAATTTTAGGTAAAGTTGGCCAAAATGTGCATGGAACCTGGCTCAAATAAACAACCAACGGCAACAAATATTTGTCAGAGTTGAATATTGGCTCGAAGAATGGAACAAGATTATGATAATGAGGTCAAGATGTATTTTTTGAAGCGGATAATATCTAGCAAGAATTAAAATCGCTAATTCATCCAAAGGATATATGTAAGCGAGTAAATCGATCAATACCGTGGAAGCGTTACTGTAAAATCAAAGACTTAAAATATAAATTCACAATATCATCTTTCTAAGATCACCGAGGAATATATAAGCCAAAGAATAGAGTCTATTGAAATCATTGATAATTAATAAATTAATATACTGTATATTTTATAATTTCATATTGTGAGTACAGTATAAAAAATCAGCCAAAAATTTGCTGGTCGATGGTTAAAAGGTCTTTAGTTAAACTGGATCTGTCAAATTGGTCAAATGACCTGGTCTAGTTTTATTGCACAAAAAATTAATATATATATGTTGTGCCTCAAACTAACGCTTGCCTCAGATCACAGCTGACGCACCTCCGATTCAGATCGTCAGATGGGGTGCGTAAACCCTAGATCTATCATCTAAACTGCAATCAAAGAGTAAATTAAATTGAATAAAAGACTTTTGACTTGGGCGCTTTTGCTTTCTTGAATCTTTTCGGTGGGTTACTTACTTGGTAGCATTCTTTACTTTAAATCACTTTGGCGTCTTTTTTAACTCCAGTAACATTCTACATCTTTGAATCATTTTGGTGTCGTTTTACTTCCAGTAGCATTTTTTTTTGCATTAAGCCCCTTCAGCACCTCCATTCTTTTCTTTAAATTTCTTTGCCAGAATTTCGTGGCACGTTCTGTATCCAATTAATATGTACTTTTTTTTCTATACGTATAGTTATTTTTGCCTAAATTCTTCACTGCATACTCTTCCTGTTTAAGTCTTCTCAGCACGTTCAACTTCAATAATACTTTTTATTATATACATATTTTTTTTTCTGTGCGTAGTGACCGATCGATAGGTTACGCACCTCATCTAACAATCTACACCTGAGGTGCGTCAACTGTGATCCGAGGCAAGCGTTAGTCTGAGGCACAACATATATACACGAATTCACATAATTCTCTAGCGAAAACTTTTTGACATCAATATTTGTTTCTGCTACATCTGACGTAAAAGCCAGTTTTATGTCTAATATAACCAAAGAAATAATTAAGATTAGCGACAAATCATGAAACCTTCGCGAAAATTATAATCAACATTAGTAAGTAGGTCAGAAGGATGATGTTTTGTTTTTAAAATAATTTACTGTATTACTTTCAAATTTTAATTAAAATCGTACATTTATATGTGCTATCTTCTTTATTTTATGTTCGTTTTAATATTATTGTTAACTGACTTCTAATTTATATCATTAAGCTTACAAAAAAATATATATAATTTATCTGTTCAAAATTTTTTAAATAACTTTATCTACAGTAGAGTTCACTACAGAGGTTCATTATATAGAGTCGATTATCTACTGTATAAAAAGGGTTATAGAATAAATTACGAGTCTATTAAAAATTTTTTTTCATTAAATAAAATACATAAATTTGTTATTTTTTTTTCAATACAAAAAAAAAAAGATTCGTTGAATAATTTTAATACAGTAATATAAAAGATTCAAAAAAAATTGAAGTTTTTTTTTCGCCTTTATTCTTACTTAATCAATAATCTATTTATTTAATTATCGCATATCATGTGAACAAGTCACCTTTTCGATCGATAAAAAATTGAACGTATGGGCAAGTTTTTTTGATTTGGTGATTATTAAAAGTTAAATGATAAAATTCATAAAATTTTATCCAATCATTTATAATATAAAATTAACTGTACGATTGTATTTTATTGGCTGGTTTTTTTACTTGTTTATAAGTATCTTATGAAAACTGCTTATAAAGAACATGATAAGGTTAAAATTATATTACTTGATTGACAAAATTCGTTGATTCTCAATCGACACGTGTTTTTTCAATCTCCACCATTGAAGAATAACTTAGATGATATATAGGATGGTAAAAAAAAACGTTTTTATGTTTTTTAAATTGTTTTAAATCATGCTTTAAAACATTGGTGATTGCGGCGGCTGATAAATGAAACCGAAACCTACTATATCTTATCTGTTATTGGATAATTTTAGCTTAAATTGTCATCCCTAATTATATACGATAAAAATCAGTAGTGATGATGTGGCATAAGAAAAAAAAAATTTACTTAATAAAATAAATAAATTTTTTCATTAACAATAACCGTGGAACCACAAAGATATACATTTTGAATCGTGAGTCTTCTGAATCTTGAAAACCTACTTTAGCCAAAAGAAAATAAATGCTGTTATAAAAAAATCCAAATCTTCCACATAACACAAAAGACACAAATTTGTCCGGTTGAAAACTTTTATAAAATAATTTGCTCCACGCGACTGAACGTGCAGGTCAAGATAAAACTTGGAAAAATTCGTATAAGATATTGTTATCTCACAAGTGGATAAAGATGCAGATTTCGAACGTAAAGTTCGTATCATCAGAGCTTCACCAATTCGTTCAATAGTTTCCGAAGGTTTTCTAAACTATGTACAGGTAAAATATTAATTTTTTCCTAATAAATACAGTATTTATAAATAAATTATAATAAGCAGTTTAATTTGATTTAATATTGTATAATACACAGTAATCAACGATTTGGGATTTCCACAAAAAAGAAGCCATCCCGAGAGAAGGGACTCGAGAAAATCGACTTAACTGCTGTCATTGTACAAAAACTAACAATAAATTTTTCTTGTCGAGGAAACAATTCTCTATGTACAAGAAGAATATGTGGATGTGTTTACGCGATCAGTATAAAAATATCTTTTTTTTTTTACGATTTTCTTTTTTTATTTTTTTTACGAAATTTAATTGGACAAAAAATGCATATTTAAATTTTTACCGATCCTACTATCTGATATTTTAAATTCAGAAGCGACACAATGTCTTTCATGGTATTATCTATACTAATATAATTTTTTTTTTATTACACTTGATCTTGTGATTTTATTGGCTACAGTACAATCAGTAATAATCGTATCCAAATGTTGAGGTTCAAATTCTGCTATTGAACCTAAAATTTAGGACATTCCTAAAATTCGACTCAGATATATAAATTTGATCAATAGAAGATTATTACTAATTGACGTTAAGAAGGCTCTAGCTTTACGAGACGTCGATCATATTATCTGTTATCAGTTATGGTTTGTGTAACTTTTGATTATTAATACGTACAAATAAAATAAAAACAACCTCTTTTGTATACAAAAATTATTTGTTTTCTTTTATTCGGGTAACATATACCGGTATTATGCTTTTTTTTTTTAATACTATTTTCTTACTATTTTCTTACCTCTAATTACTCTAATTACTTGTTTTTTATTTACTGCTAGGAAAACAGATGTTAGTGTCCGAAGCTAAAGCTTTAAAAATAAACAAGGTTTCTTCAACAACAAAATACGCGACGCGAAGAAGCCGTAAGAAAATTTAAATCAAGATAATAAGAATGCGGTCGTTTATAGCGAAGAGTATACTAGTCAAACGTGTGTAAAGTAAGTATTGATTAATGTGCCGCTTCCAGTGCTAGCGACTCGGAAGTTACGACTCTTTTTTTTAGCGGATTTGAGGTCTTCTGATCCTGGAAAGGGGGTTGGTTACGTTCCTTCCTCGAAGAAGTGAGAAAAAATTGTTTGGTTGGTCGAGTCTTACACTGCGTCTGTAATTCTCGTGTCTAAGATAGCAGCCCCTACGTTAAGTCCCCAATTTCTTACTGCCTCCATTATATCATAAGTGGTGTATTTTTACGAATCATTTGTTTTATAATCCTTTTTTCTTTGCAAAAATTTTTTTTTTCTTTATTAATAATTTCGTTTTTGTATTAATAAATTTTTTTTTTTCGTTTTTGTATTATTAGTATTTTTTCTTTTTCTTTTTTGTATTAATAGTATTTTTTTTTTTTGCTTTTTTTTTTTCTTGTTTGTATTAATAATACGGGTTGCACTGGAAATTGTGGGATGTAAGGTATACTAGGTGTTGGGCAAGCCTTAGTATATCACGTTATTTTAGATCACTAGTTAATTGATCTTACTAGTTAGGCTTAGTACCTTAATACTAATCTTTTTTTTTTTTTTTTTTTTATATATATAGTATTTTAGGGCTTTCAATTCGATGAAATAAACGTTTAACGGTATCGAGGAAAAAACCAACTTAACTCGAAATCGAACTATTCCTAGGAAAATTTATGTAACTGTGCTTAAAGGTAATCGATGAGAAGATTACATTTATTATGGTACTTAGAATTTGATATATTATTTTGTATTCATTATACTTATTCTATTTTTTGCACGTAAATAGATAGATCAACAAGGACGGGGCAAAATGTCCACCGATGAATTTTTTAGTAAGTTCGACGACGTTTTATTCGGTTCCACCCGCTTCTTTTTCGAAATAGTAAGGCTGAAAGAACGTGCAAGACACGTTCTCTCAGGGACCGTAGGTAATTTTAAAATAAGTGGTATAAATAATTATATAAAAAAATTATTTACCATAATTTATTTTTATCAGATACGCGCACTTGCATTTTGAATCAGAAAACGAAGCCGGAAATTCTACGACCTCGTAAAGGACCAATCTTTCAACCTACACTTCTCTCCACAAAAAGGCTCTCCCCTTGTCGGTATGAAGACAAAATAATTACTCATTCTTTTAATCTGTTTTGTGAGTGCCATTTCACATTGTTTTGTGCTCGGTTCATTGTTTTTAAAGTTGTTGTATTGTATGTGCTATAATACAGTTGTGATATAGGTAGTTATTCCGATCGAGTTTAAAAGGCAACTGGTCTTAACGTTAAACGACGATCAGTTGGATTATCTTTCCGACATTAAATCGAAAGACATCATAGAAATATATCCACCGCCTCCACACCTACAAAAAGATTCTCTTCAAAAAGACTCACAAAAACACTCCTATGAAAACTCTCTCCTCACGAAAACACTTCCATGAAAACTCTACCAAAAACACTACCACAGAAACTCTCCCCACAAAGTCTTTTCCCATGAAGTCAAGGACCCTCGAAATATATATAGATTTTATGAATAAAATTCAGATTTGTTAGATAAACAGAAAACATCCAATTTTTTACATAATAAATTTGAACAAATTATAAATAAACTTAAGTGTAATTATTTACCATATCGAAAAATTATTTTTAATGTTTAATTTTGGGTTTAGGTCAAAATCCCGATGAACAAAATCCTGACAGGGTCAAAATCCCAACAAAATTGGCCAGAATTAGCTTAATGTTGGCCGAATTTTGACCCTGTCGGGATTCTTATTTTTGGGATTTTGACCCAAACCCTTTAATTTTAAATCTGAAAAATAATCAGTTTTCAAAGTAAATTTTTTTTAAAAAATAAATAAAATTTTTCTATTCAAAGTAGTCTAAATTACACCTAAATCGAACTACTTATTTGCAAGTGTTTTTACAATTAAAATTACTACTCTATTAATTCTGACTCTATTACTATAGCTAATTTTCGACGTATACTTTGAGTCAAAATTTCTTACGTGCCTGGTACTGTAATAGTTAAAATCATTAACTGTTAATTTATCATATCTAAACTTACGAGTCAATTAAAAATTATTTCATTTTAATATACCTTACTTTCCTTATTTTTCAACTCTCTTCTAATTCTTTCCCACTTATTGTCCAAATTCAAAATCAAACATGCAATTAACCCTATGTCAAGAGAATTATGTGTATGTTCCTAATATCTTTAAAATTTGTTCTACTTGTCCTTCTAATTTTTTTTTTTTTTTTTTTGACATAGGTCTGGGAACAAGAATAATACTGGCAATTCATATGACTCCGTGTCGATAAAGAATCAAAAAGATGATACAGCACTTTCTTTTAATAATTTTGATCAAACGGAAATGTTAGATCAACCGAATTCTTATCAATCAATTTCAACTTCTCTTGAATATGATGCTACTTATAAAGTTGATACAACTTTGAATTTTCAAAAAAATTCTTTAAAGAAGTGTTTACGTGCAAATTGTACTAACTTACGTTACGTAGAAAATGGAAGATTACACGATTTTTGCGGACAAACTTGTGCAAAAATGATTTCTCTGTGAGTAATGCTTATTGTGAAATCTATGAATTAATTAGCATTTTTTTAATACGCGCGTATATAAAATTTGTACAAACAGATGCGCTCACCCGAAATGTTTTAACCGTTGTTATATTGAAAATGATGGAAGAGTCCATCGTTATTGTGGAAGATCATGTGCTAGAAAATGTATTGTACTTGGGATCTAGCAATAATCATTATTATAAGAGGGAGTTAACAAATATATATCTCATTCAAGATTGAAATAGTATTTTCTTATATTATGTGAGCCTAGCGCATATTTTGAAGATATCTTATTTTGAAAAATTTGGTCGAACATAATTAAAGCTGTAATAAAAAAAAAACAATTCTCAATAAATGTTGCCTTTTTCGCGTAATTACAGTATGTAAAGACCTATAATATAAAGTTTTCTATAGGGTATATTATATGATGACAAAAGGAGCAATAACGAACATTAGAGCTTGAATAGTGTATAGATGGATTTTAACGTTTGCGTAACGTGAGATGAATTTTGAAATACACAATATTTCAGAATATTTGTCACTAAAAATTTCTGCTGAATTTCTAGTCATTTTTATAAAACTCGCTTTTCTCACTAGCAATACATAAAAAAGTATAGTTTCGAGACTCAAAGTTTGGATAATCTTTCTTAATTTTGAACATATTTGTTTACTAAACTTTATTGTTGGCTTAATTGAGAAATAGAACTTATTAGTTGAACTCATACAGGAAGATCCCCAAAATTCCTGGTCGGAATGCATCAGAATCCTGGTCGGCAGGGCCGATTTTGCCCGAAAATCACTTAAGAATTTTACTAATGAAATCGTGGCTATTTATTAAGTGAAAAGTGCCCAGCCGATAATTTTGCTATAGAACCTACTAACCACTAGGGCTAAATGCCGACCTAAATCCGACCAGGAATTTTGGGGATTGCTCTGTAAAAATCTATTGGTTGTGATTATTACACTGGCCTTGAACACTTGCATTAAGATATCTCGCTGTAATAAATTACAAAAATTTATGTACGAATTATAAGTGAATTAAGTGGTAATAAGTAAATGTCGTGGTTGAAACAGGAAATTAGGAACTTCGATTTAAAAATATAAACCCTATCAAAATCCACTAAAATCTTTTATTATCCAAACCAACCCTAAATCCTAACCTGACTTTTTTTTTAAAAAAAAAAATACACCAAAAAATTTGACAAAATATTTAAAGTTTTTTAGCTTCAGCCGTGACACTAATAAATTTCTTTAAAGAAATATATTTATTCGACGTAATAATCTTTATTTATGATCTAATTCTTAGTTAAAATCCTGTTATTATAATAAAATAGAGATTAAATAAAGAAAAAACTCGATTTAAGTCTCTAAAAATTAACCGCGTATATTTATTATTATCTAAACCCAACAACGTTACAATAATTTAGTGTTAACTATATAGGGCCGATAGCCTTTTTGGTCCGGTCCTAAGACAGATGCAGGACCGACGGTTTTAGTCGGACTGATTAATTTATGAGTTTTTTGTGATTCTTGCTTTTTTTCGCCTTTAATTTTTTACCTAGTATTTGTATGTTACACACTGATGATAAAAATCACAGGACCGCGCCATCACCAATGTCGAGCGAGCAGCTACTTATTTAATTAACAATGATAAATCATAAACGGATTAGTTTAGTTGAGCGCACTATTTAAAAAAAAAATTGCAAGTTTTTTTTTGCTTAGTAAACATTAAACCGCAGTTTCAGTAAATTGAATATCTTATATACCGCACGCATAATTTGCAAATTCTTATCGCATAAATTCCGTGTCTCTGTCTTAAATGGATTAGATTTAGAACAGAGCCCAAACTGAGTTTGTATAAGCAGGCAGGATAACAACACTGTTCTAGACTAATCGGGTATTCGCATAAAAAAAATTTTTTCTTGAAATATTGCTATTTTCAACCATTTCGAAAACAGCGATAATTTGACGAATCTTTCGTCAACTCAAAAATAGTTTCGTCAACGGCTTTAGATGAAGATGACGAAGATATGTACAATTTTTACATGTTCATGTTCATGGAAAAATTATATGCAGGAATAGTTTTACTGATATTATTAGTCTGTCTGTATTTCGTACAATTGAATCTTTCAAAATCAGAATGAAATTAAAGAAATTCTGGCTAATAATACATCTGAAGAAATTTTAGTTAATAAAAACAAACGAAAAGACTACAAAATTGTCATGGACACCTTTCACTTCAGATTACTTATCTTCTTCCTGCGAAAACCTTCCGTCTCACGAACCCCGTAAATTCTATCTTGTAGAACAAAAATCCAGAGAATTGACAATTTTCATATGGCGCTACTTGACATATGCAACGAACGCTTCAATATCTTGGGAGTCAGTTTCTCACGAGCTTTGTCCTTATCCACCAGAACTCACACATTTTTCCAACAAATCTTTAGCAATTTTTCTCGTTATTCTATCCCTAATTTATTAGTGTCCCAAAGGTTACGCACCATGCTGGTTTTGGAATCTTCAGTCTGAAGAACGGAACACCTGGAACACCTGTGCAAGTGGAGTTAAGTACCGCTTAATCACAATGGCGAGATGTTGACATAATATACGGACTATTCGTTCTATTTTCGCATAGATGACCCACCTTATTATTCATAAGGCAGGACAAGTTTGGTGGCTTCGATTTCCGGACGAAGGTCTAGGTTATTACTGGTTTGTTGGCCTCAAAACTTTTCATAGTCTCTTTGATATGACTATGGGTTCACCTGCAAAATCTTTGAACCTACATACGGAATAAATAAGAATGATATCCCAGAATTTTACAAAATTCATATGCCATTTGATAAGAAGTACCTGATGATATTAGGGTGGTATTGAAAAAGGTGATACCATCGGGAATATTTTTTTTTATTCAGATCTGAGATCACGATAGAATTTTTTAAAATACAGATTATTGTAAAATTCTGCATAAATCTTAAAATTTGAAGTTCTGCGCAGATCTGAGTATACAGTATAACCTCGATATAACGAACCTCAATATACCGAATCTGGTATTATAGCGAAGATTTTTTTTAGCTAAAATTTTTTATTATAAAAATACCTCAATACTGTATAGCGAATTTTAATTATAAAACCTTGATACAGTATACTGTATAACGAAGAAAAATTTTTTTCATTTGATAAAGCGAAATATTTATAGTATAACGAAACTTTTGTGTAACACTATCAATTAAATTCTTATATCGGGACACATTATATAAACCGAACGTTTTATAAATATATATGTATATTCGTTATATCGAGGGATATTATTTCTAAACCGAATATTTTATAAAATTACATATATAGATGACCTCTCTAAATGCACTTTTTCTTATTGTTCTCTAAGTGCACATCATTAAAGTTCAGTCCCAAGAGCGTGCATTTAGGGAGGGTTCTCTGTATAATGAAACTTTTGTGTAACACTATCAATTGAATTCTTATATTGGGACACATTATATAAACCGAACGTTTTATAAATATTCGTTATATCGAGGGATATTATTTCCAAACTGAATATTTTATAAAATTATATATTGAATTCATTATATCAAGAGACCCGATATATTGAAATATAGATATAACGAAGCAAAACCTTTAGCTTCAGAGCTTCGTTATATCGAGGTTATACTGTGCTGTATTTAATTTATTAAAGATCTGCACAGTTACATAACAAAAAAATTACCCGATGGCAAAGAACATATGTATGAATTAAAACTGGATATTCTTATTCAATATAAATTTGTTCTCGCATTTGAAAATTCAAATTGTGAAGGTTGTGCACTGAAAAAGTCTATCATCCATTCACAGTTGATTCTATCCCGTGTGCTTCTGATATAGACGATTGTGTTCCACCACATAAAAGTTACAGATTTTAGAGAAGACATCACTAACTATATTAATGAAGTTGCTAATAATCAAACATTATATGATAGTTATTTCAAATAGAAGAAAATAAGACTTATAAGAGTTTCTGTAAAATATATAGACAGAGTGAAGAACCATTTTTTTGTAGATTTTTAGAAAGAGCATTTTGGGTTTAATTAAAATGATAAATATTTAATTTAATGAATATTATCTAATAACAAATAAAATATTTTGCAGGATTGACAGAGGATGCAATAATTTAGAGTTCACCTTGTATGCACGTACGTACATATGTACTTAGGTTAGAATGAAATTTTAAATCAATCTGTGTGATTAGAGAATTTTAAATAAACTTAATGTTGATTCTGAATATATTTAGTAGAAAAAACTTTACACTAATGAAAAATACAATTGATTACCGTAAACTTGGAAATAAGCATCACACTCTACCTAATTTTAATCTTAGACTAATGGGGATAACTTAGATAAAGATTTTATTGCTTTTTACTAATCTGAGATTGAAAAGTGAGATAGAAATTGTGATGAGTTTTGTGATATCTATATACACTGACTCTCATAATTATTGTTTCATCTTTTTTTTTTTTATTTAGGTCACGATATCTTACTTTTATAAGTTATATGACCGGCAAATTTGGGTGATGTAAACCCTCCAGCTTAGACTTTAATATAACCAATTTTGGTTAACACTAATTAGGTGGCTTTTTAGAAAACTGCTGATTATGCACTTTTTATATGGTGCAATAATTATAGCATATTTATATAAGCAAAATAAATATACATTTATGTCACATCTATGCCAAATATATATAAATACTTGCTCGATTAGTAATAGTAAGTATGCAAGAAAACTTACTATAACTATAAGAGCAATTCCGGATGATATATAGAATAATGGGAAAATCGGGTACGTATTTATTAAATATCACTTAAAATTAATCACATCGTACAAAA